TAGGATGAATACAGCACGCCTTTTCAAACTTTTTGAAACCAAGGATCCTCAAATAACCTCTTCCTAAAAAAGCAGCTATGTATTTTCAAGTAGACCATTTCGTACATGATAATAAAAGCAAATTTGTTTGCAAAATACATTTTTACATGTTAATTATTGAATTAATTAAAAGCTTGATTAGCTGTTATAAAGGCAAAATGTATAACTGAAAGACACTTATAGTTATTATAACATACTTTATAATAAATATTGTTCTAAACTTTTACAGAGTAAAACATATAGTGCCATAAATTATTTATATATAAGGAAAACCATATATATTTGTATAGGCTAACATATATTACCATAATACATCATATATTTAAATATATATATATATATACACACACACACACTATATATACATTAACATAATATACATAATTTATAAATACATATATAAATACAAATACATATATACACACATACATTATATAATATTTACAAAAATAAATGTATATACAGTATATATAAATGTAATATACATATATGAATATAAATATATATATATATATATATACACACAAATTATATAACCTATATTAATATATAAATGCATATTATATATATACACACACATTTGGTTTGCCTTTCTTACTGATGTATAAAATTACTGATATATGGTCTTTTTTTACTCCAGATTTTCTACAGACCCCATAGTGGGTCCCTGGGCCCCAATTAAAAAAAAACCTAGACTACAGTACTACAGAGACTCTTAAAAACAAGTCGCAGAGAGCACTGGGGTGTCCCGATCTAGTTTAATGTACTGCAGGGCGGTTACACAACATACAGTCTGTCTTTTACTCTGCAGACGCTGTTACAGCATATTGATTCTCACGCCCTATTAATTGCAAAAAAATGCTGACAAACCAGACGAGCCGAGCAGAGATGCATGTGAATGGGCAGGCCTGTAATTGGAGCCTGGTGTACGTGAGCGGCTTATCCTACCCTTACAAACACACGGTCCTGCCCTGACCTCGCAGGGGCTCCGAGGTGTCATGTTCTGATCCGCTCTCACCGGCATTCCTGCTCTTTTCACTTGACTTGACAGTGTTTTGTGGTGAATCGCATAATTAACACAGGGATCTACAGAATTCAGTGACTAAACATAATTACTTCTCCCCTCCTATCCTTTCTTAATTCCTTCCTGCGGCCAGGGGTTTCGGCCTGGCTGGACAAACACAATGGGCTGTCATGTCGGGACAGCGCCGGCTGGTGGGCCGGTGGCTGAGAGGGAGGGCCCATTCAGCTCCAATGGACGCTTCATGCTGAGACTCAGGGATATCCACTGACACAGAGGTGACAGCTCAGAGAGGGAGAAACAGAGAAAGACATAGCAGGGGAGAGTCGTAATTAATGTCACTTGACAAATACGAAGTCAGATGAGACTGAGAGAAAGTTTATCACACAAATACATTAGCCGTACAACACCTGCTGGTCGCAAGAGCAACGATTTCTGCCGGTGACCTGCGGAACGAGACGAAGTAAACTTGCCTCAATCCAAACGTCCCGGGTTCTGCTCACAAACAATGACGTCTGAGAATGCACAGGGCAACAGTATGTCTCAACAGGTAGGAACAAATCCTGCAGGAATGAAGAAAAGGTGGGGAAGAATACATGCAGGTTGGTGAATGTGGTTAATTAGAGCTGAATTACCTGGCTCTCGGTCCCCTGCTCTGTCCTCTCATTTCCTCTGTAATCCCACCAATCGGGCGGCGGTTAAGCTTCGGCCCCCAGGATGTACGGTTGTTCCTGCCCTGGATGCATTCTTTCAACAGCTCATTTACTTCTGCAATGTAACTAGGCTTTGGAAAAGAGGGTAATCCCTATCACCCCCCACGCCCACCCTCCCGATCAACCGCTCAGACCCCCACTGCTAACTCTATACACACGAGTCAAGGTATTTTAGCAGGGCGTTACAAACGATGATGCCAGCTTTATATATTGGATGTTTGAAAGAGCACAAGCAACCAATGCAGAGGTGAGCTAAACAATTAAAGGACTTTTTAGTTACACGCTGAGGCAATTTGTTTGCTAAACAGCTAAAACATCTGCTACACCGGTTCTCTGTTTGTTTTTCTAGCGTGAATCTTCTCAAATGAGATTTGCGTCTGGAACAGAGCTGCTAGGTGTTTGATTTACAGTTAAGCATTTCATGCCGTGTTAAAGGCCGTTCACACACACAGAACGTGTTTGTCCATTCCACTGCGCTACTTTTCCATTCTTTTTTGAATGAAAACGTGCTAAATGGATGTGTTTGACCCTTGTGTCTTTTGCAACTTACAACAGAAGTCCAACTTTTTTAAAAAATGCATCTCTGGACCTTTTTCTTTTTAATTCCACTGCTCTGTGTCTAATGTTTTTAACCGCAAAAACACGCTCTGTGTGAACTGCCCTTTAGGGGCCATTCAGACAGAATGTGTTTTCACATTCCATTACGCTAATTTTCCATTGTTTGTGAAAACAAAAACATGATATTTTGAATGTCAACTATTTTTGCCCATATGATGAAAGTCAATGGGGTCCAAAACACCATTGGTCCTCATTGACTTTCATTGTACAGAAAAAAAAAAAAAATCTATAGCTCAGGTACTTACTGCTTTGCTCCACACTAGGTATTTAAAATTGTTTTTCACTATATGTTAAAACACAAACACACAGTTCAAATGATCTCCCTCTCAGTCAACAGGTGTTTTGACTAAACTATCTTCCCTATAACCGGTTTCAGACCATTTAACCATCATCTAACCTTCCTTAATCTCCCAATCCACAAACCTGAGAGGTTCTGCGCAATCTAGTCAAGTTCCCCACCGCTTCAGCCTGAAGAGTGTGGATTACCTTAATCCACGCGTTTGGCATCCTGATCCATGGGAAACAATACTGTGTAACCATGCAGGGGCACTTTTTAGATGGGGTGGGTCTATACTAGATCATTAAGAGGATTTAGGCTTTGCAGTGGGAGACATTGTAATGAGCTACAGATGTTAAAAAAGAAAAGAAAAGCCAGTTCAGGATGTCTCTGCTCAGAGGCTGTCGATTAGCAGAAGGGGTGAGAGGTGATGACCCTGCAGTCAGGTGAGCATGTGCAGTCAGCTGTGGTGTAATGCACACTGTTCCTCATCTTTTCTCATGTCATTCACACAGACCACAGGGCTAAAATGACATACATCCTCTTAATGAAACAGAATCTTTTCAGCTTCAAAAAGACAATTGTTTTTCACCAAGAGGAAATACACTGCTGCCCCTCTAAACCTAAAGCAGTTTCTTGTTCTATAACTTCAAGCATCAATTTTTTTTTTTGGCTTTGGCGCAGACTGAAAAGACAAGAAACTAGATTCTGTGCAAGAAACTCATTGGATCACAGCATGCTTTCTTATAAATGAAAGTTTGACTTCAACTCAGTTATCACGCCCTCTTGTGTCAATCCTCTGATATAACCATTCACACCTCAAAAACAGCATTGAACATATCAGAAGTTCAATTCACCTTATTTATCTTTTACTTGAATGTTCCAGTGTTTCCACTTCCAGTTATTTTAGCGGTACAAAAACACTGTTACGCTGCTTGATATTACAAACTGGTATTTGTGATATTATTTTAATTCATTAACGCAAACAAACACACTGGTTTGTATAGTGCAAATAGCTAACTGCACTTTATTCTTCTAGTTGGAGCGCAGCAGTTGGGTTCCAAAAGTAAAATGGCATTAATTTGATCCATATGGGGAAGTGATGTATAATGATTACTTATAAACCTCTAAAGACAGCTAAGGGGTTGCTAATTGATGGTATACTTGTAAAAAAAAATGGCTAAACAGCTTTTAATTGTCTTAACCACAAATTATTGGTCATGAAATTAGCTAAATTTAAGCAAATGGACTACTTCAAAAGCCATTGCTGTTTCACAAGTTTCATGGTGATGTTCCAGAGAGGTGTCTTCAAAAATATGCTGAGAAATATAATAATAAAAGCATTTCTACCACAGTGAAGCATGGAGGAAGAAGTGTCATTGCGGGGAGCCTTTTTAGCTGCTGGTATTGGTGAGCTGCTTCACTGTGAAAAGTCATTTAATGCTTTGGAGTATAGGAGAATATTGACTTGCTTCCTACAAATGGAAAGTTATCCAAAGAGGAATGATCAGATGTTATTTTTCAACAAGACAATGCTCCTGCATTGCAAATCGCAAAGATAACCAAGAACTGGCTTGAGAACAAGTTCATCAGGCTCAGGTTTTGTCCTGGTCAGAGTTCAGATTTGAAACCTATAGCGAATGTTTGGTCTCACAATAAACTCAAACAAACTGGGAGACATTTTTCAACTACTCATGAATTGTTTGAAGCCTTAACATTTAGGGAACAACACTGACTCTTCTTCCTGTAACTGCAAGTTGGGGAAGGCTATTCCGTGCTTTATCTACAGTATTTGTGCAATTCTTGCTCATTTCCTGACCATGTGTGATTAAAATGACCAAAAAAAAACCACTAAATATTTTGCCGGTTTTGGCTTGGCCTCCTTTTTACACCCAGGAGTGTATGCATTTGTTGAAGCCACCAGCCTATATCCTTCCAATTATTTTAGCCCTTTGTCTTATAGTCAGATTTTTAAATACTTTTTTGCTTCAAGTTTGCAATGTTATGGATCACCTGGTAGCTGGTTGGTTTGGCTGATGCCTGATAGCTTAACTCTTTAACAAAGACTTTTCAAATATCCCAATGGGAAAATTCTTCAGGAACCAAGGCCGCAGAAAATGCATTACACTGTTGCACTCAACGACAGTTAATGAATCGGAAGTCTTTCACTTTCATAGAAAACAGCTTCTGAATTGAAAATAAGGTGGCTAGAGGTTTCCCGAGAGGAGAAAAAAACAACAGTAATTTCACTTTCACTGAAAGATTCATGGTGTGAATCCTTCATTCCCCACCTGGAATATAGGGAGACAACGTTTTAAACACAAGCAAGTCATTGTGTTAACATCAAACTTTAGCAATCCTTTATTGAGGAGAAGAGATCATATTCACTGTTTGCTACTGAAACATCACAACATCGTACTGGGGACGTTCATTACATGGGCTTGTCGGGTGGTTAGAAAGAATCAGAGAGAAATAGAGGAAGGACGTGAGAGCAAGAGAATTTGATCACACTCTCTAAAATACAAGGGACAGTAGTTTCCCCCTCCGGTGAAACCCTCTCTTCTCAAGCCAACAGACTTGGAATAAATAAAATACTTTGTTTCAATTCTAATTATTCAACAATAATTGTTGATATACACAACGCAAATGAATGTCCTTGAGCACTCACAGCACAAAATATATCTCTTTACCATCTCAAACTGGAAACAGACTCAATCTATTCATCTTAAAATGAAGCTTTCCAGCATATGGCTACAAATTATGTGTACCAGAAGAGGGGAAAACTGCAAAAATATATATACATACATAAACAATCATCTCATAAAATTCAATTACACACTCATTTTAAAGCTACACACCAGAGCAGGTGAAGTCGATGAATAAAAAACAAAAAAGGGAGGAAGAAAAGAAGGCCTCCAAAGCATGTCTGTCTGTGTCAGATGTAGAGTGCAGAAAAAACTTAGGTGAAGTAAATGGAGTAAGAACGTGAACGTATACGATGAAGCTGATCAAACGATAAATGTACATATGAAAGTGTTATGCATGAGCATGTACAAATGGGTGCGTGAAGGTATATGTGTATCAGTGTGAATAAGGGGTACATTCATCCATAGCCGACTGTCCTGTAAGTACACCCTTACAGCATGGTTCACCTTTTACAGGCACGGTTCAAAAACAATCCTACATTAAGGATTAGCAAAAAATTTGTTTAAAAATCAGAACCACTCATAATGAATATTCAAGTACCTATCAGCCAGTCTGAGGAGAGAGCATCCCCTCCCACTCTTTCACTCTGCTGTTAAAGGAGAAAAAAAAAATATATAGCTATATACACATACATATTTCTGCAGTTTCACTTTAGAAATACTCTACCTTCTCATAGTTTCTCTTTCATATAGTTTTTAGTATTTTTTGTTTTTCGTAAGCAAATGTGAGTGCAATCAAACAATACCAATTACGCCATATAATCTGTAATAAAAAGAAAAAATTAAAATGATAGAGGGGGAAACTATTCTAAATTCAAGAATTTTGTTAGAGAAAACCACAAACCAGAACTCAAGCTGATGGGAGAAACTCAGTGGGGAGAGAGCTGGGGATGAAGAGTACGGAGCAGAAGAAGACGAGTTCAGTTTTGATGTACTGTCTCTGGGGCGACTAAAAGCAAGTCACCATGAAAAGTTCCTCCAAATAAAGTTCTCTCCAATCGGGGTTTGCCATAATCTCCTGCCGTCAAAATGAGTGTCCTTTTATTTTATTTTTTTACATTTTCGTGTTAAACAGCAAGCACCAAAATGAATGACACAAGAAGAAATTCGCCTCTGCCCCAAAAAGAGAAAAAGAAAAATCCACAACAGATACATTATATTTCAGTGGCTGCTGTCCAGCTGGTCGGGTAAGAGTCGCAGGGTAAAATTAGAGGGTGGCAGAGATCATGCCTCCAAAAAAGCTGCACATGCGTGGTGTGAAGGGGTTAAAAGTGAGCCTTCTGAACGAGGGTCCCTGTCCCTCTCAGAGCTCGCTGGCCCCGTCCTCCTCCAGCTGAGTTCATGCCTCCAAATTAGCATCCAGCAACTTTTGCTCAAGCAGTCTCGTCACTGCTCGTAATCGACACAGATTTCAGGAGGGGGGGATGGGGAGGGGAGTAAAAATAAATCTCTCTACCATACAATGCAGTTCTAAAAAAAAAAGAAAAAAAATCATCTTAACATTTTTGTAGTTTTCTCATCTTTAAAAACAAGCGTATGTATTCCCAGACTCGTTGTTTAACATTTCCTATGACGCTCTCCGAATCGAAACCAAAAAAAGTGTGTGAGCAAGGGTTTTCTTGTGTGAACCAAGGACATTCTCATGTGGATTCAGAAGCCGTCGGCTGCTCCGGCTACCAGGGGTCGTCCAGGTCACCTCCGCTCTGAAACGGGAGAAAACAAGAAAGGGAAAGAAATGAGCAAACAGAGTCAAATTAAAAGGGTAGAGCACTCGCTAGTGAGAATCGGGGAAGTAAAAAAAAAAAAAAACAGAATGAAATGTGTGAGGATGTGAAAGACAAGAACAGGAGAGAAAGGAAGATTTATTAATGTTTGAATTCCATGTAATGGAACCATGATTACCCACCAAGTAGTTTTAAATACTTCTGATAGAAAATACACTACTGTTCAAAAGTTTCAGGTCAGTAAATTATTAGTATTATTTTTTTTAAAATAGTTTTATTATTACAAGGATGCATTAAACTGGTCAAAAGTGACAGTAAAGACATATATAATGTTAAAATTAACCAATTTCAAATTAATGCTGTTCTTTGGAAATTTATATTAATCAAAAACACCTGAAAAAAAAAATTTGTATCAGTTTCCACAAAAACAATAACCAGTGAATTGATAGCAAATGTTTCTTCAGCAACAAATCAGCATATTAGAATGATTTCTGAAGGATCATAAAAACTTGGCCAATGGAGCTGAAAATTCAGATTTGCCATCAAAGGAATAAAATTACATTTTAAAACATTCAAATAGAAAATACATTTTAAATTGTAATAATTACTGTTTGATCAAATAAATGCACCCTACATTACATTAATAATCAATACATTAACAAATACAGACCTCAAACTTTTCAACAGTAAGTATAGGTGCCTTCTAACCTACAGGTGACTCCAATGTAGGCAGAGGGCAAAAAACACACACAAAAACCTAATCACATAAAAACTGCATAAAACCAAAATAGGTGTAGTAGATTTCATTCATTAAAAAAAAACTCAAACATAATACACATAATAATGATAAAAGCTAATGAAAATGTAAAACAATCACAAACAAATGGGTGGAAAAAGACCTGCAAGGCACAGCCAGCATTTTTTTTCTTATGATTTAAATATGCATTTCCATCTGAAAAGAAAACTTATTTTCCCCAGCCTAAAGACTGATTTATGCACATTTGAAGCTCACTTACCTCAAGTCTCAAACTTCCACTGAGCTCATGAGTAAGAACATTAGCCATATAGGAGTACATATGGGAATATCGAAGTATGAATGATAGTTAATAGTGCACAAGTTCTTACAAGAGCCATACAAAGCATTAATGTGATTGTATCTGCGTTCTGTGTCACAGAATGAGAAATAATGACATTTAATAATGGCAGCCAAGACAGATATCAATAGTTGAATTTGATTTATTTTGTTCAAAGAACTTCAGAGTGAAACAAAACAAATATAAACCTTTGCCCTAGAAATACTGCTCTATGGACAATTAAGTAAAGCTCTTTGATACTGCTGAGGGGGTATATTAGTAACATGAGTTTAATATAACAATGGCAGCATTATGCATGCACTTACTCTAACTGTTAAGAAGATTACACAGTTTGCATTATGCATTAACTTCCAAATCAACAAAGTAATCAGCTTCAAATGGCTTGATAAATCAGCCAAAGAAAACACATCACAAAAGCAGTTTGGAACAGATTTCTTGCGATATGACACACAATCCATGTGGACAGAGTTCAACTTGCCTTCCAAAAACCTGGGTCATAAGAATAAGATAAGTGCAATAAGAAGCACTGTGCAAATACTGCAGAGTACAGACATCCATGTATGATCATGTAGCAGCGTTGCCTAACTTGTAGATTGGAGTAAGTTAGATTGCACTCCTATATGTAATGCAGTCCACTTTTATATTGCAAATGTAAAGTCATTGACTGAATAGAACAGCACAACAGGAGAAATGAGAGTTCGCGAGAATGTGATTGTGTAAGCTTCTGTTATATCTCATATTGTCCATGCTTATAAAAGCCAGTGCATTTCCAATTTGTGCTTTTTCCTCAAGGACACACCTGGATAACTGTGAACACTCAAAGAGCAGACACAGGACAATCATATTCAAGAGGTCAGCTCAAGTTATGAACCGATATGAAAGAGATATGGAGAGAGCAGATATACACACACACACACACACAGCATTAGAGTTCCATTTTAAATGGTGAAAGAATTGCTTTTGATCAGTTAATAATTTTGCATAATATTATTTCAAACATTTGATGATTCATACACACACACACTAGATAAAGAGCACAAATAAAGCTGTACCTGATGTTTACTACAGTACGTTAATATCCTATAACTATGATCAACCACGAGACAACCCAGGAAAAGGAGTACACATGCATCGCATGGCACGAGAGCAAACAGTTGTGTGTATTCTTGGCACAACCCAGATTGTCCAGATGAACCATTCCCTCTTACAACTATTTGCATAAGTAAACTCTTTGGGTGTAAAACAGTGATGGTCAAAATCATTCAGGTGTGTGGCAGTTTTTAAATCTCCTTAAAGGGAGAGTTCACCCAAAAATGTAAACTCATCATTTACTCACCTTTAAGACATTATAAACCTGTATAACTTTTTCTTCTGCAGAACACAAAACAAAATATTTTGAAGAATATTTTTACTCTATGCAATGAAAGAAAAAAGGGATCCAAAAACATGACTTTCATTATGTGGACAAAACAAAACAGAAAAAAAACACAACAACTAAACTTGACAAAACTAAAAACAAAGACATTTTCCAAAAAGTTTATTTTGTGTTCCATAGAAGTCATTTGGAATGACGTGAGTGAGTAAATGACAATTTTCACATTAAGATGAACTATCCCCCTTCAACAGATTACTCATCCAGGTCTAATTTTAAAAACACTAGGCTAAGTGCAGAGATACGAGAAAGTGCTTACTGCAGACAGAGCTGGGATATGCCAAGGTTAACCTCACTTGTAGTTGCAGAGCAGGTTTTTAGTGATAAGAATTTTGCGCAAAACTTCCTCTGTAAGCGACTTTTACTGTAAGCAATGCTCACAAAAACAAACAAAACAAAAACACCCAAGGTGCTATTTCAAATCCATAAAGACAACCAAAAACCTGCTCTGAAACTGCTCTAAGGGGGAACATTGCCGAAAGCAACCTAGCAATCTGGGGAAAAGGGTTTGATAGCAGGGCTGGGTTTAGTGGGTCCTAATCAGGGTCATGCAGTGGGGGCGTCAGAGAGCTTGTCCAGAGATGGTGACGTGGCGGCTTCGTCCTGTCCCTCCTCAGAGCTGAGGGGTTCAGTGGCCGGGGACGGTGGGGGTGAGCGAGGTTCCTCCTGAGGGTCGGGCCGTGTCGTGGCACCTGTCCCGCAGGACAGCCGGTAACTGGAGAGCGCCTGCTCCAGCACGTGGCGGTATTCGCCTCGGTGGCTGAGCCGGAACTGTCGTAGCGCATCCAGCAGTTGGGCGGTAGCAGAGCCACCTTCTTCCTCCTCACCGCCGGCTGCTCCCCCCTGGCTGTCCTGGTGCAAGACGCCAGTGTCAGTGGACAGAGCAGGTTAAGAGACCCCGCTTAGAGCAGGCCACCTGCCCATGACCTTACACTGCCCTTTCATTTAGAAAGAAGCACGCTTGAGGAGCGACAAAATAAGCTGTAAGTGGTGGCGAATGTGTGTTCGTCTGTGTGTGCGTGCAAGTGTACAAAAGATGCAGGAGCTTGTCAACACGGGTCTTTTCTCACAAGTCTTAGAAGCAATAAACTTGCTGAAGTAGCATTACCAAGATGCGACCACACAAATACAAACGGTTACAGAGTGGCACAGGCACAGACGGACAAACAAAGCCAAGGCCTGCAAAAAAGCCTTGCATTTACATCTTAAATGCAGAGGCAGTGCTCTTAAAGATAGTGGTGTTTGGATGTTTAACCTGCCCTATATATAAAGCTATCGCTGAGTACCAGTTACACTTGCCTAAGTAGGACATTTGCTAATCACTTACTAAATGTATCATTTCTTAAAATGATCAAGGGAGTAATTGTAAGCACAAAAAAGGTAGCATCAGCTAGAACTACATTAAAGTCAAACTATTTGCTGGTGTGCGCATTAAAAGTATTATAAGATGATGAGTAAATGAATGGACTTAAGTCTAAGCAAGAAGACTCAAGTGACCTTTTGTTTTGAATTCTTATAAGAACAAAAAAGTAAGGAAAAAACACTCACCCCATCTTCTTCTCTGTGTGGGTTTAGCCTGTTGTAAACAGCTTCAATTACACTACGTCTGGAAGAAAAGAGACAGATTAGACAGAACTCTAAAAACCCTAAGGAAGACTCTGACAGTAAAATATTACTTGGTTTACAGCAAAACCTCAGATGTTTAAATTTAGAATAAATCACTATTCACATATTGTAAAGACATTACGCATTGCAATATTTTTACTTGATTCCCATATATTGATATTTCATTTACAGCTGAGAATCACACCAAGAATTAATATCTTAAGTTAATTTCCACTTTAAAATATTAGATATGCTAGGTTATATATTATATAACAGCAACATTACAAAATATTTTCACATTTAATGTTTAATTAATATAAAATTCTGGATGATAACAATAGGCCTATAATTACTTACATGTTATGGACAAGAATTGATAGATGGTTCAAATTAAAACTATACTATTGCGTCTAAATCAATGAGAAAAACTGTAAAAACGTAACATTTATTACAATTACAAAATGGCTCTGATCAGCAGAAATGGACAAATGTTACTTAATTTTGGATCCGTACTTGCTAGCGAGACCACCTCCTGGTGGCAGGTTGAGGATGCTCTCAGGGCGAAGGTTATGCATGATGTGGCTTAGATCTGGGATGCCTTCCTCCCCTGACTTCTCCATGATTTCTGCAGAGAAAGACAATTACATTACAAATGTGGGATAATGGAAGCCTGGAGCATTTCTTCCACCATGACTACTGCTGTGAAAACGGTGTAGGCATTGGCTCAGCCATCCCACTTATAGACAGAGTGTGAGAAAAATAACATCCAGCTGGAGAAAGAACGCCAAACAGGTTTCATCACAGCTGTCCTGACTACATCTCTAGTGGAAAATACAAGAATTCTTTCAGAATTAATATATTCCCATCCAGAAAAGTTCCTATAAGCCTCCAGACTGTTCAGAACATGCCAGGATGTTGACAGAGAAGAAACAGAGGGAGAAGAGAGAGTGCAATCTAAACAGAACTTACACAGAGAGCATTTTCAAACCACAAGGCTGACACTAATGTCTTGGCATTAGGACTTTTTGAATTACAAGATGGCCATTTCCACAACACTCGATGGACATGGACAATGCAGAAAACTGGCTGACAAATAAACAGGTGCCACCTCTTACCTTCCACACGAGCCTCCAGGAACTTGTCCAACTCGGCTTCTCTCTTGACAGCCTCCTCTGATACCTTCGGTGCATTGGGGAAACATACTAGAACAACACTCATGTTGTCTCGGCTTCCCTGGTAAGAAAAAAAAAAGAGATAGTAGGTTAAAGAAAAGGCAGTTCACTGGACAAAAGTCCAACCTGTTGAGCAAGTGTTTATAACACCACAAGCTTCTATTGTAAACCACTATATATCTAGATCGCTTCCAATTTTGCCAATATTTTCCTCAGATGGAAATTTGTGATCTAGTCACACTTAGACACTAAGCAGACCATCGTAGAGAAATCTTTCAAGTGGAGCTTAGTTTCCAATGTATATATGAGCCATGCATCATAAAAAGGTATGAAGAAGGTTACAGACTAATACGGAAAGCCCTGACATCATCTTGAGCAAATCCATGCCAGATCCAGAGCTGTGACCTCACTCACAAGGTCCCTGGCTCTGTCTGATCATCTGGAGAGCTGGTGTCAACAGGCAGAGGGCTCAAGTGTTTTTCAAAAAGGGTATTGGAGGGGTTTTGGATTCTTGAATGCCAAGAGACACACAAAAAAAATTATATGCTTAGATGCAGCATGTAAAAGGGGAGTGGGGATTGTTTATAAAATCATGAGTTACACACAGCTGGTTTGTCTAATGAGACTAGCAGGACTAGTGATTATGTAAAGACTCAATGATTCAACTTCATAAAGCTGAACAACTAATGAAGAACAGAACAAATAGACTTAAAAAAAAGGTACGAAATTAGGGTAAAAAGATTTCAAGAAAAGAAAAAAAAAAACACACCCAAAAATGCCATTTACACGAAGCAAACACAGCGCAAACCATGATGAAATTCAAGGACAGCTTCTCCCCTAGAGCCATAACCATCATGAACTCTAATATGCACTGATCCCTCTATGCTACATACATACACAGTCTACATACATATACAGTCTCAGGGAGCTATTTTTCAATTTTCATTTAGCAACAAACAGGTTTAGTGCAATATATTCGTAGTGCAATATTTAAATTTGACTACAAACTGTTTATTTTTGTAATATACGTATAATATTTGTCGTATGAAATATTGTTTTTGTTGGTTGTATAATTTTTGGAAATGGAAGCACTTACTAATTTCTTCTTACGAGAGTATAATGACAATAAATGCTTTCTATTCTATTCTATGTCCAATTTGTAAACAAATGACTGACTGTCAACATTTGTATTAAGTCAGTCAAAAAAACAATTCAAATAACAGCTTTGAACTTGCTTGCAAGTTGGCAGTTTGAATAACAGCGCAAACAATGATGTCCGATTAGAGACAAAAAACTACTTGTCTGAACAGTTAAAAAGATAGGTCAAACGCAAATGCAAAATAGTCAGTGCATTATTCAGAGCCACAACTGACCAATTAGAAATTAAATTAACGTCACCATGAGACTTACAAATAATGTATTTACTGACTGGCTGGTCATATGATAATGTGTAAATAAAAACATACACAACATTGTTTTGCTGTAAAAATGAATTGGTATTTTTTAAATTAATGAACACCTACTCATGAATTACCCTGCAACCCAGCAATGACAAAGAGACCTTGTGTAAATTACCTGCATCTGTGCAGTGTTTCTCTACTAACAATGAAGCTGTGAGTTTAATTACTTAAAAAACAGCAATCTTACCACCTTGTTGCTGAAACAATATTATTTAGTTATTCAGTAGTGAAGCTATTTTAGTCGTGGGACAGTATTGACAAACAAGTATTTGTGCTAAATGTTTTTGTGTGTGTGCGCATTGTGATCTCCCATCTCTGTGTGCTGCAATTAAGGTTAACTCACACTTACCAGCCAAAAAAAAAAAAAAGCATTCAGAATATGGAATAAAATGAAATATTTCATAAAAAATATTGTTATTGTAATTTTAAATCGAAACATGGTGTTATATTCTTCTAAAACAGTCATATTTTTATGGCACTAATCATCACTAGAGACATCCTCACCTTATGTAAACAGGTGTCCACCACAGAGTTGCAGATCTTCTCCAAATCATCCCACACCTCCAGCCGAGAGCGTACAAAATCACACAGCTCCTCATTAGTCATCACATCCCAGATACCATCGCAGGCGAGCACCACAAATTCATCCTCTTCTGAAACGCGTGGAATTTCGTACACCTCCGGCTCCGGAGATACCAGCTGCTCAGTGGGGCCCTTTCCATCCACACACTTGTAGTCATAGTCCCCCAGTGCGCGCGACACTGCCAGAGAACCATTCACCCTTTGGATCATCACAGAACCTCCTGCGTTCTGAATGCGCTCTTTCTCACGTGGATTGCACGGCTTGTGGTCTTGTGTGGAGAACCGGACCTGTCCGGCACGGCTTAGCACGGCACGCGAGTCTCCGCAGTTGATGAAATAGAGGTGCTCAGGGGACACCAGTACGCCAACCGCTGTGGAGCCACTACGGTCCATACCGTTACGTAGATCCGAGAAGTTGCGCATGTACTCGTCGATCTTCAGGAAGCCAGAACGAATGCCGACTTTAACACCCTCCACGGAGTCGGGGCCAGAACGGAAGTCCTCGCTGCTGGTTATGATGTGCTCCAGCAGGTGTTTGGAGCAATAGTTGGCCACGCGGGAGCCAGCGTGACCGTCGTACACCGCGAAGAAGGACCAGTCGTCCAGGCCGTGAGGCAGACCCACTGCGGCCGTGTGTGCATCCTCCATCTCTACCCGCCAGCCCTGCATGCTACTCAGGCCAAAGAGCAGACCGTTGCCCGCCCCATGAGCATTGTGTTTCTCGGTCTTCGGTTTGTCCAAGAAGGCCCCCATGGCTCAGGACACCGTCTGCAAGAGAAAGAGTGAGTGATGCGAAGTTGCTTTGCATGTCAAAAAGCATTGTATGATACTTAAGTATTACAAAATTTTCATTTTTGGGTGAACTAAGCTCATCAAAAGCAAATATACATTTGAAACGAGCCTCAGCAATTATGTTAATCGAGAACAATTCAATACAATGAGCATATAAGCATATATGACTAAATAAGTCAATTCACTGAGTAGGCAGAAAATTAAATTACATAACATTAAATAGTGTGAAACATTTAGCATGACGTTCAATGAAAAATTATTTGCAGAATTGACTTTCATCATTGGTTAACTAGACCCATATCATCATAACCCACCATGAAAGGCACTATGCAATGTAAAATGTAGAATGGAGAAAAGTTGGGGGTTTTTAAGTCTTCTGCTCACCAATGCTGCATTTATGTGATAAAAATACACTAAAACTGTATTATTGTGAAAAAACTACAAAATGTAAGAGTTTCTAAAATAGTTGTGAGCATGACTAGGATTTCAGTGAAGGGGCAGCTCAGAGAAATAGCATGAATGAAAGTTTCCTGTCAAAAGCTGGATCTAAACTCTCACAGTATTATAGGAGAAGCAGTGCTTAAATGAAAGCATTAGGATGTCAAAAAAAGGCTTCTGGACACAATCTACACGGACAGATGGGGTGTGTCCGGACGGTAACTCAAGCTCCTGCATCACATTTCATCTTGAGTTCCATCTCTACCATGAACCACGCTTGGAAAAAACAAAACAAACTGGCTTTGGCTATCTTAACCTCATCCTCAAGACAAGCAAGCACACATACATCAAATGCATTTGTGTACTGTACAAATGCCACATGCATGCAAAACGCACTTTAAAAGGAGCTTAACAGAACTTACAAGACAAGAGGAAAAATGTATTATTATTGATTACAAACCACCAAGACAGAAGGAAAAATGTATTTTTCATAAGTTTGATTACCCATCTGAATGCAGGATTAGAAAGTGTGGAGAAGCTTTAAGCCGCTTTGGGCAAACCCCAGCCGTAAGACCATTACATGACTCCAGGAATAGCCACTGAAATGTATTACAAGCCCAAATAAGCCATTAGACAAATGGAACGAGAGCTGCCTCGTAAGTTATGCGATAACAACTTGGGACCTTGACCTAGCAAACCCAAAAAAGCGAGTAGGCTACTAACTAGAAACAAGTCAAGGTTTGCCAATAGATATTACAAGCAGGGTCATGGGAGTGGTCAAATTACAGTTTCTCTCATTCTCTTGAAGCGTCCCTCTTCACAGGTCTGTTTATCCATCGAGAGAAAGAGAACTGGCAGTGGTCAGCAGGGCCGGGATCCAGTGAAAGTTTCAGCATTCAGAGGATCATGGGCTCGTCCAAACCTGACCATCAGGGACTAAACTAGACTTACCCAGAAGGGTGGTGCCCAGAGCCAGATATTTGCTCACTACTCCACACATGACAGGCATGGAAGGCATGTGACCAAAAAAGGTGGTTGGGAGCTGGAGTGTGTGTTTGTGTGTGTGTGGTTGGATGAGGGCACAGGTTGTTGTGCAGTGTCATGGCTCGGCTGGCCAGGCTGTCGGTTTGGCAGGTCCTCCCCCTCTGAGCATGGCTCTATTTATATCCCTTCAAACTCAGATTGGGTTACTTGCATCTGAAAGTGGGCAGGGGCAAAGTGGTGCATCCTTATGGGTGTTATTCATTGGGGGGGGGGGGCTTCTTCCCAACATTCATGTTCAGACGTCCTTGTCAGATCCTCTTCATTCTGAGGCCTTGAAGCTGGTATGATCTCTGTCAGCAGTAAAATGGTTGATCCATCATGCAGCGCTCGCTTTGATCAAACCCTGCCATTAGCATGGCAGATACACTCAAGAGGAAGCTTTGTTAATGCTCAGGCTTCAAAACAAGAGCACAAGACCAGGTGCAGTAAACGCACAAATTTATCAGATCAAACGTTAATAAACAGGCACAACAGCAGGAAATGAGGGGGGTTTATAAAGGTGGCTGGATGTGGACCTGAGGAAGGGATGGTTGAATCCGGACAGTTTACCTTCATCTCCACACCACACACTAAAGGCAACATTAAACATGAACGCCTGGCACAACTAAATGAAAGAATTTATTTTCAGTTTACTGCAAATGTTATGTATAGACACTGATGTATTAATCCTGGCTGGAAGTGCTATGGATTCAATTACAGGTTATATTATATTGGGGATACTGTATTGATACATGGCCGCCAAGTATCGATATTTTCAGGGAGTGAATTTCGGCTTGCGATTACGAGTATTGTGCACAATTTTACACCAAGTTCTGCACTTATAATCTGGGAAATAATGATCATTTGAAATATTTCTTTCAGACTGTAATTTCATAAACAGTGCACTGCATCTTTCTCTCACGTGTGCACGAGCTGTGTGTACAGGAAGGGCGTCCTTGCATATTTCTGAACATGGACCGATATGTTTGCATGCCTTTAACTCAATATTAGAGTTATCTTAATATCCTTTTAGATACTGGTTCTTAAAGGGTTAGTTCACCCAAAAACAAAAATTCTGTCAGTAATTACTCACCCTCATGTTGTTCCAACCCCGTAAGACTTTCGTTCATCTTCGTTCATTAAATCTGAGAGCTGTCTTACTCCTCCATAGGCTTCTATGTTATTGAAACTTGCCGGCCCACAAAGTTATTAAAGACAATGTTTAAAATAGTCCAAGTGAACGTAGCTCACACATCACACACAAGACCAGCGTCGGCCAATAGTGAGCCTACGTTCTGACGTACAACACAGAAGCGCTGCGCTGTTACACTACGTGAACTCACTCAGGCCCACAGAGAAGGAAATGAATAGCTGAATAAAGTCGTTATTTTTGGGGGGTTTTTGCGCACAAAAAGCATTCTCATCGCTTGACAAACTTATGGTTGAGCCACTGTAGTCACTTGTGTCGCTTGATAACTTTGTGGGCCGGCAAGTTTCAATAACATAGAAGCCTTTGGAGGAGCGAGACAGCTCTCAGATTTAATCAAAAATATCTTAATTTCTGTTAGGGGTGGGGGCTATACCGATATGAACGTGACTACCGGTATTGTGTTGTACCATGATATGGATTTTGCGATACCGAGAATACCGTTAGATATTCATAAATTCAAATTTTGCAGTTATGTTGTTTTGTTTAATTTGGTACTCTTTACAACTTTTAACACTACTAATGGCGATACAAAAATCGAGGCTGAACTGAACGTTTAACCTTTTCCTCTATTGTGTCCAACTCGCGTGATGCACATGCATTAATAATCAAACACAGAGAGTATTGGCGCTTTTCCACTGCATAGTACGGTACGGTTCGGTTCGGTACGCTTTGGCGCTTTTCCACTGCATAGTACGGTACGGCTCGCTTCGGCTCGCTTTAAATGGTACCTGGTCTGTTGAGGTTCCAAGCGTACCGTACCGGTACTAAAATGTGACGTAAAAACACTGCAGATCACTGATTGGTCAGACAGAATCGTCACTACCAGCGTCATTGGACACTAAACTAGATTTAAATAACCAGTAGACAACAGCCAACGCGGTAGCATCTGTTTTTTAAAATTTAAAAACAAATGGCTGAATCGTGGTCAGTGGACGAGGTGCAGACGTTCCTCTCGTTGGTTGCCGAGGAGCGGATCCAGCGAGAGCTGGATGGGGCAAAACGGAATGAAAAAGTGTTCCAAGAAATAGCTCAGCTCTTAGCCGCACACGGCTATCACCGGACCTACAAGTGTAGGGACAAAATAACGATCAGTCCCACCCACTTTGAAGAGGTACTAACTGCGGTGGAAAAGCAACCGAGCTAAAGCGAACCGAACCGTGCCGTACCGAGTCGAGTCGTACCACGCAGTGGAAAAGCGAAGCGAGCCGAACCGTTCCGCGCCGAGTCGAACCGTACCGAGCCGAACCGAGCCGTACCAGCAGTGGAAAAGCGCCATATGGTAAAAGTCCAGTGTTTCCCACACAGACTAATTCGTGGCGGTGCGCCAAAGAATCAACACCGGCCGCCACATAATGCGTTTTTTTTTTTTTTACGCTATTTAAAATTACGCAGTGTATTCGTTCTCTGTCACTCTTAGAGACGGAGTGACACTCTGTCACTCTTTCACTGTGACAGAGTGTCACTCCGTCTCTGTCACTCACGCCTCTTTCGAACACACACACAGCGTCTGTCTATGAGGCGCCAGACTGGACAAAAGCGAAGCGAACTTCGCGAGCGACAGCGAGAGAGACCACGTGTGTCCGAGCATTAGTAAATTGATACATAGTAATTTATAATTACTATATAAGAGGTATGGAAGTTCGATAAATGGACAACAATATAAATAAAAACTACAATTAAATTGTCACCACTGAATTAGCAGTATGTAGCCTACTTCTCTCTTTTGGTCAGCATACAAAAACTTCGCGGTTAACAATGTTGTCTTCAATTAGGCCTAAGTGTCAAACCTCTCTGAAATCACACTATTTCATATTTATTGATTATAACGTATTCAATAAACCAAACTCTAGTGTTACTCCTCTTACAAATTATTAACGAAGGAATTATTTTGACCCCCGCAAAATAAAAAGTGGAAAGAGATAACAAGTGAATTCAGGCCTACCTCATGTTGCACGTTTGCTCCTTTTGAGAAAAACAATGGGACAATAAAAAAAAAATTCCAATTATGGATTATGTCCAATTAAATCCCTCACCTTTTTCTAGTTGAAGGGTTAAAATAGATATTTTGCCTGTAATTTAACTAAGGTGTACTAAAATGTAATTACCAATTTTTTTCTCATATCGCAATATAATATTGATATCGCCCGGACAGTGAAAAATATCGTGATATGATTTTTTGCTCATATCGCCCACCCCTAATTTGTGTTCCGAAGATGAACGAAAGTCTTAAGGGGTTGGAACAACATGAGGGTGAGTAATTACTGACATAATTTTTAGGGAACTAACCCTTTAAACTTTCCTATTG